AACCCCTAAACCTCTAAACCTTAAACCCCGAAACCCTAATCCCTAAACCCCCAAAACCAACCCAAAAAGTCATAAGACGCACAGATTTCAGATTTTGCTGAGGTCAAAGAGGCCGCAGAGCTCTGCGCAGAAGTCGATGCCTTGCTGGGTCCGGGACCCTAGCTTTGTTTCTTTAGTGACTTAGGGCTTATATAGGGTGTAGGATTTCGGGCTTTAGGGTTTTAGGGTTTAGGGTTGCTTTAGTGACTTAGGGTTTAGGGTATAGGGTTTTAGGGATTTCGGGATTTAGGGCTTTAGGGTAAAGGTTGATGCAATAAAATTCCGAGAAATTATTCAAGAACATGTGTTCGCTTTGGCTCTAAGGGCACACAAGACTTCGGGTTCAGGGTCGAAGAGCTACTATAAGGGATTGCTGCAAGGGATCTTTGAGGCTTACATACCACATAAGACAAACCAAGAAGGCATGTTGTTGAAGAGCTTGCGGTTTAGGGTTGATGGTTTAAGAGCCGTGAGTTTAAGGCTTGGAGTTGTTGCTTGAAAGCTTCAGGGTTTGTGGTAGGGTTGAAAGAGCTTCTGGCTTGTGGTTCAAGAGCTTCGGGCTCTAGAGACTCTAGAGATTTGCATATGGGTAGTCTCTAAAATTAGGATCCCTTCTCAGGTCCCCACGGTAGTACGGCGCCCTTCTAAAAAGGACGCTGAAAGGGACCCTACTCTAGAAAGTTACCCATACTGTTGATGGACAAAATTCTGCATGACCCAAATAAAGTATAGTACCATAAATCCCATAGTTTAGGTATATAAGGTCATGCAGGATTTTGTCCATCAGCCGTATGTCGTGTCTCGCAGCCCCCCGATCCCGCGAGGATGCAGCCAACGGCCTTGAAGCCTCACTCCAGTCTTCAGGGTTGAACCCCTGAACCCCTAAACCCTATATACCCTATATACCCTATATACCCTATATACCATATATACCCTATGTACCCTAAACCCTATGCCCAATAGACCCTTTGTACCCTATATACCCTTTATACCCAATATACCCTAAATCCTTTAGAGTTGAGGATCCGGGTTTCAAAGCTTTCAGGGTGCAGGGCTTCAGGCTGCCACTCAACCAGAACCCTAAACCCTGAACCCTAAACCCTAAACCCTAAGCCGGTTTTAGGGTTTAGGGTTTAGGGCTTAGGGCCGAAGCCCGAAACCGAAGCCAATCTGCTCGGACAGCATCATCACTACTCTGGACAGTTACACTCCGCGGCCTGCGGCCTTTCTGTAGTAGCCACGGCATGTTTACCAAAACCTCAAGACCGACAACTTCTGTCTACTGTAGAAGCCTCGCTAGTTTATTGCCATAATGTAACAAACTCCCAAGCCCTATTCTGATTATTAAGGCCTACACTAAACCCTTATATAAGCCTTATAGAACCCCTCACAGTATCCTCGAAGCGTACACTCAACCTTTCTAGTATCCTGAAAGGAACCCTTTAACACGAACCCGGCGCTCTGACCATCGATTCCCCTACTGGCTTTAGGGTTTAGGGTTTAGGGTTTAAGGTTTAGGGTTAAGGGTTTAGGGTTTAGGGTTTAGGGCATGGTTTGCCCAGGAGACGACTCTATCGGAGTCGCGGAAAGCCCAGAGGCTGCTGCACAGGCCGATGTTTCGAGACTTACGAACAGGATGGGGTTTAGGATTTAGGGTGTGCGGTTCAGGGTTTAAGGTGTGCGGTTCAGGGTTTCGGGTAAAGGCCCTTGAACCCTACGCGTTGGATTCTTAACCGACCCATCGCAAACAGAGTTATCAGGTTCAGGCACTGCTTGGCCGTCCTGTATATTTCTTATTTATTGGAACTATCATCGTTGTGACCTTTATTGTCAGTGTCGGCGTTCTTCTTCTCACCATCATCATCATAACGAGGGTAGCTGACAGTAAACGTGTTTCGAGAATCGTTGCCAATACTACAGCCCTGCTTGATGGTGTACTTATGACCATAAACCCTGAACACCTAAACCCTAAACCCATTCTTCGATACATTGTGAACCCTATGCCCAAACCCTGGAGCCCTTTTGCAAATCAACCGGTAACCTAGAAAGACCCTTCAAGGCACTTTAAAAGACCACTCTGAATGTGCGTAAACCCTAAACCCTAAACCCTGCATAAACAAATCGCCCTGAACAGCCCTAAGCCCTGAAATCCGAACCCCTTAAACTCCTCATAAAGGAGTAGGGTTTAGGGTTTAGGGAGTCCTTAAAGGAATCGTGGGCCCCGAAACCTAAACCCTAAACCC